CATTACTTCGAAACATACGAAACATGTTTGTGAAAAGTAAATGATGCATACATTTATTAGAATTGTTTTGCCCTGAAATTTTCTTGCTAGGTTAGTAAAACATGTTTGGCTGCTATTGTAAATCAGCTAGCAATAATTAGTTCAATTTTTGGAGCAATGTTTGTATTCAAAGTAATTCAAAATTTTGCTTTCAAAATAATTCTCCAAAATGAGGGTTTTGAATTAAAATTGACTTTGATTTTATAATTCAAAATCTAGATAGAATTGGACTTTGGTCATAAAAGCAAAGTTGTAGGAATTAAATTCTAAGCAACTTTCATTTTTGGTACATTTTCAAAAGAGGTCATTTTCTTGCTCAAAATAATATTTGAAAACTGTTATTTGAAAATTTATTGAAAATGGAAATTGAAAAGAATGTTTACATTTTTGGGTCGCGCCTCCTTTCCGCCCAGCCCATAAGCCGGCCCAGCCAAGCCCCATAGCCCCCTCGCCTCGGCCCGGCCCAGCCCACCCAAAAATTTGCCTCCACGCCCAAGGCTTCTTCTTCTCCACAGTGCCGTCGCAGCCGCCACGTCTGACCACGACGGCGACGCCCACCAGCGTCCGCCGCCACGCGCCCGGCTAGCTCGACCACGCAGCGCAGGCCTGGCGGGCTTGAAGAGGAGCGCCTGCGCGATCAGCACGCGCGCTTCTGCCTTCACTCCTCCCAGACCGCTTTTCTTTCCTTCAGCCAGCCGCGAGCCCCGAGCTCCGCCCTCGCCAGCGCTCGAGATCCGCCGGCGTCAAACTCCCGCACCACCGCGCCATTCTCCAATTCACCACGCCCGCAGCTCCGCCTCGCCTTCCTTGAGGTCGCGCTCGAGCTTACTCCGCCTTCCGAAACACAGTCGGGCCTCCCTGCGTCTCGTCGTCGCTGACGGCCATGGCGCCATTGTGCTTTCGGCCGCCATGGAACCCGCTCTTCCTTCTCCCCTCCACCTCGCCTAGCTACCCTACCGAGCTCGCCTTCTCCTCGCCGTCTCCTCGCTTTCGCTTTCATTGGCGCTGCCGTCTCGGAGATTTGCCGCCGGTCCATTGGCCGAGAGCCATCACCGTCAGCCAAGCGCTCCCTAAGAAGCGCTCGCTTCTACCGGCCAGCAAGCCGAGCCGAGCCGAGGGTCGCTCGATGGGCCGTCCCCCTCCCTCGCGCTTGGGCCGCGCAGGCCGGCTGTGGCCGTGGGCCAGTTCATTTCCGTGGGCCAGCCCAGTAGCATTTAAATGATTTGTTTTCAATTTATTCATTATTATTTGAAAACAGAAATGGTTTGCAAAATATTTGGATACTCAAAGTTGCTCCAAATTTGTTGAAACAAATTTTTCTAGGTTCCTTATCACCAGATCTACTTGGAAAAAATAGTGCATGTCATTTTTGATATACTTTTCTGTAGGGATTTTATTTAATCATAAATATTGCTTTATAACTTGAAAATGTGTAGAAAAATCTATAGTCTTCAGAAAAATATGATTGCAAGGTTGTTAATCTTACTATGTAATGTACTTCCTAGGAAAAATATATTTCATGCATGTACTGTGTAAAAATTTTGAGGTGTAGTTCAAGTACCTTAAATGGCTGATTTTTGTTATTTTTGCTAGAGAGCAAAATTTGTACAAAACATGCATGTGAAAATTTTTGGACAGTCATTATATACCATGAAGAACCTAGGAAAAATATTAATTCTGTTGTTTGACACTTTTCATAGTACAAAGTAATTTCATGCTCATTTTTAGGCTATAGCTTGTCATTTTTGTGTAGGATAGTTTACTTATCCAAATGCCATGAAATTTTTATGGTAGTCTGTTTAGGGTAGTATTATGCTACTGTAATTTTCTCAGATTTTTAGGAGCATCAGAAATATATGTTGCTATTCAAACCTATTATTAATTAGGGTTTAAGCAAGTGTTGCTTTAAGTGTGATTAAGAAATTAGCAAAGCTTTGGTGTATCTTTGAAGCATTTAATAAGATGTGTTGACTTAACATATTGGTAGTAGAAGAGAATGCAGTAGATGACATGTGCTTGTAGCATAGTTTCTTGGATGATGTTGACTACCTTGCCTTTCAACATATCCATTGCATTCATCTCCTTCGATGCACCGATTGCATAGGCACTTACACGCATTGCATCATACAGGATCGCAAACCGAGAACCCAGTCATCATTCCCGAGGAGCCCGAGGAGCAGTTTGAGGTGCAGCCGCAGGAAGTGCCAGAAGCCGACGAGGAGGACGTTGAAGAACTTCCGGAGTGCCCCGATCACCGTCCGAGCTCCTTCGAGAGAGGCAAGCCCCGGAGCATCTTTCTCCCGGTTTGCAATGATTTCGTTAAAAGCTTTACTTGAAATTGATGCATTACGTTCAGGAGTTGTTTGCAACCGTTGCTGCATTATACCTTGTTTACCTTTGTTATACTATATCCTTGTTACCCTGGTATCCGCAGTCGAGTCAATGCTTAGCTGGCTTAGACCGGTAGAAGTCGGGTGATTTCCTGTCACCTGCGAGCTATAGGTGGTTACCTGGATCTGTTTGGATGGCTATGAAGTCATGGTATAACTAAGTGTTAAATGAAGTTGAGACCGGGCGGAGACTTGCAGGGTTTTGGACTGTAGTGTTTCCGTGCAGTGTCGATTATTAGGACCGACCGTTGTTGGGCCTCGAGTCATGTTGAACGATGCCTTACATTTAGTCGGCGGGATAAAGTACCTTCCGACCGCTGAAGTTGGGAGATTTTTCGGGCCGAGTAGATTGCCCATGACGCCTTGTGCGTCAAGCAGGTGTGGTAGGACACGGGCGGGATGATAAGACCAAAGTGCGGTCGGTCGGCCCCGGTACATGTGGTTCCTAGCAAACTCGAGAGATACCGGAAAGTTGACTCGGTGATCAATATCTCACTTTAGCGGGTGAGTGAGATTTGTGTAAGGAATAAATCACCACCGGTTAGGAATCGATTCGAATCGCCATCGCCTCCCGGATAGTGAGCACTTGACTTGAGTTACTTCATCGTAGTAAATGTTTATGGAACACTTGGACAGCTTATAGTGAATATGACAAGATGGAAGTTGTTTAATGATCGATGGTTATCATTAATTGCTTAATCACATGTTTACTCTAGTATAGGTGCAAATCTAGTTGACAAAGTTAATAATAATTAACTTGGCAATAATGCTTTTAGAAAGGTTCTTGAAATGCTAAAATGCTTCTTTTTGCAAATGAGTCACTACCCTACTATAAAAAGCCCTTCATAATCCTTGGTGTCATTTATTTTCGGTTATGTCGGGTAAGTCCGGCCGAGTACCTTCTCGTACTCGTGGTTTTATTCCCACTTGTTGCGTATGGGCGATGTGTATTACGGCTCTCGTATCAACCGCCTTTATCCTGCGATGGGTGATGCTTAGGACCATGGGCATGGTCATTCCTTACGTCTCGTCTAATGCTTTTGTTGGAGATGATCATCAGCTGGCACTATATTTGAACTACGTGTGAGTGTGTGTGGTTTTAAACAAATGACTTCCGCTACTTTTATTCGAACTTGTTTTGTAATAACTATGTTTAAACTCTGATGTATCTGTTATGGAAACTTTTATGTAATATGTGATTGGTGACCGCTAAACTTATTACGATCATGGCTGGGACACGAGTTGGTTTGAAATCCTTCGTGATTTCACGGACTACCGGGTTATACGGGCTTAAGTTTGCTCAATCGTCTGCTCTGGTGGATGATTTTCTTACTTAATTTCGTATAATTGGTCGGTTCTGTTACAGTTGCCAGTGCCAATGCTTCCAAAGCAGAGGTAGAAGACGCTGCGCTCCGGTTGCTCGTCGAGCCACGAGAGGCACTCATGCTTTTGTTTTTCACTACTATAGAAACCATTTTTAGGTCGGTGCCATCGCTTCGTCTAGTTAGATCGAAATGGGGACAGAAAAATGCTGTGGCGACGAGTAGCAAATAAAGTTAAGAGATATATAGATCGTTGAGACGTTGATGGCTAACCCGCCAGTAGACATATAAGTAAACGACATTTAATTTGATTCTAGCTAATTTATAGTACAATAGTGGACATATGGGCAGCCTGTTCGCTTACTCGTAAACGATCGTAAATTTCCAGCCGAGAACAGTGTTTTTCTCTCACACCAAACCAGCCAGTAGTAAATAATCCACGATATGATACGGCCTCCCGAACAGGCCGATAATTGATTCTACTTTACATACAATATAGTGGGTGTATGTGATTGATGTGAAACTTGACCAACTAGAGCATTATTGTATGCTTACATATATGTGCATTGGTAGATCACTAATCACTGTCAGGTTGGAACCCGTCACCGCCAGAATTTTGTCTCTACAGTATAGGACAATCGGCAGTGAGGGGACCGCCTATCACTCCCGGAAGTGATAATAGTCTATCACTATTGAGGCACACCATCAGCTGGCAGTGGTATCCTGCCGAGTTGGCGCATGACCTAACAGTGATATATTGAGTGTCACGGCCTGGTTCATACAAGAATCGGAAGTGGCACTCATGGCACCATTGCCGGATCACTGCACACCCGACAGTGAATTGTTTAGTGCCATATTGTCGATTCAATACACACCGGCTGCTATTAACACACCTAAATATTCTCATTGCGATCACATTTCTCACAAGATAGAATACATCATATATAACTAGAAAACTTAAACTTAATAGGTACATATATTGAAGTCATTTCAAACCAAATTAAAGTCTACTACAACCTTAATAGTCTTACATACTCTTATATTACAAACTACTACCGAGCACATCTACTACTACTGTTCACCAAGTGTCATGACATAGTCCATATAGCGAACATTCCCTGTTGTGTATTCGAGCATATATCACTTGAGTATATCAATGCATGAATTAGTGCACTCTCCTAAAGAAAAATGCACATGATCTTGCAAATCCATGTAGGTGGGCGTTGAACCTACATAGTACTAGTGGTACCTGAGTTGCTCCATGGCTTGAATCAGAATGGTGTGGAAGATGAACACAAACACATCTAACTCTTCAAAGAATATGGATTTCATGAGATACATAAAATATGACGGGGCATTTGTGAGCCCAAAAGACATCACTGTGTACTCATAAGAGCCACATCGAGTGGAAAAGGTTGTCTTCGATATATCTCATTTCTAATACGGATCTGGTGATAACCCAAACTCAAGTCAATCTTTGAAAATAATTTGGCCCCATTGAGTTGATCAAATAAGATATCAATTTGAGGAAGGGGTACTTGTTCTAATTCACAGTGACCATATTAAGAGGTCGGTAATCAACATCCATTCCTAAGCTTTTGTCCTTCTTAGTTACAAACAAGGCTGGACATCCCTATGGTGAAGAACTAGGTTGAATATAACCCTTATCCAACAGTTCCAACAAATTGCTTCTTCATCTTTTCTAACTCCTTAGGTGCCATCTTGTATGGTGGTTTAGAAATTAGAGTTGAGCCAGGTAACAACTCAATAATAAATTCTATATCCCCCTCAGGTGGAATTACTGAAAGCTCTTCAAGAAAAACATCGAGAAACTCACACACATGGGCGCACATTCTACTCCCACAGAAGCCTTAGCTTCGAATTTCAAGCTATATGCAAGGCAATCTGGTGATTCTTGGAAGCATAAAGAACAACCTTTTGGCCTAATGAGTACGTGTTGAAGCTCTACATACTTAGATGTTCGTACATCCAATTCATACCCAGAATTGCATCTAGATCTCCCAACTTCAACATAAGCAGGTCGGCGTGAAACTCCAACCTAGCTACTTCCAATTTGGCCTTACTAACTACCCACTTAGTTTCATGCATGATTCCAGGTGCAACCACTTGAAAGGAGTGATTCACCTCTCTAACTGGAAAGTTGTTCTCCCGAACAAAACTCTCATGTATGAATGAATATTGAGATGCTTCAGAATTGATATTCAACTTATCCACTATCACTTGCTCATCAACGGTGGCTTCTTTAGCAGTTACATAGTTGAGGCAACCTTTCTTGGGAACTTGATTCCCGCATTGTTGTGGTGGTGCAGGTGCGTGAGGAGCATTTGCACTCCTCATAGACCAGCATTTGCACTCTTCAAATCCCAGTGATTGCTTCACATAGACTAGCTCAGAGAGTGGACCATTGAGAAAGGCACTCTTCACATCCATTTGATATATCTTGAAATCATGATGGACAGCTAAGGCTTGAAGCATTCGAATTGCTTCAAGTCTTGCCACTAGTGCAAAGGACTCTTTTAAGTCTAGCCCTTCAACTTGAGTGAACCCTTGAGCAACCAATCTTGCCTTGTTCCTTGTCACCACACCATGTTCATCTTGCTTGTTTTGGAAGACCCACTTGGTGCCAATCACATTAGTCTTGGGTCTTTCCATCAACTCCCACACTTGATTTTTTTCGAAGTTGTTCAACTCTTCTTGCATAGCCATCACCCAATCCGGATCCTTAACAGCTTCATCTACCTTGAGTGGTTTCAAGGAGGAAACAAACGAGTAAAATTGGCAAAAATTTGCTAGACGAGATCGAGTTGTTACCCCCTTTCTTATGCTCCTAAGGATGTTATCAACAGGATGGTCCCGTTGTACACTTTGATGCACTCTTGGATGAGGTGGCCTGCCTAAAGGTTGATGTAGGTGTTGGTTGTCATCATCTACATTAGCTTGAGGCTCATTATCTTGAATATGTTCATCCTCTTGCTGATTGTTGTCCTAGACTCCGGAGCCTCCGTGTCCTGGCGCAGAACCTCCAGGCCCTAGAGCCTCTGCGTTCAGACGTGGAGCCTCCGCGTCCTGCATGTTCATAGGACCTGGGACAACAGTTGGCCCTTGGAGTGGTGTTGAAGCTTGGAGTGGAGGATCTTCTTCTTTAGTAGCTTGAACTTGTCTCACATCACCTATGGCCATTTGCTTGATTGCTTTACAAGGCGGTTCTTCTTTTCCTACAACATCTAGATCAACTTGCTCCATTTGAGAGCCTTTAGATTCATCAAACGTCACGTCTATCGTGATTTCAGTTCTTCCAGTAGAAAGATTGAAAACCCGATAGGCGTGCTCATTTGGACCATAACCAAGAAGAAAACCTTCATCAATCTTAGGTGCAAATTTAGAGCTTTGGAGCTTCTTGTTAGGAATGAAACATTTGCACCCAAATACTCTAAAGTATGACACCTTGGGTGTAGCACTCGGTTTTAAAGACAAAACCATATACACACTATATGTGAGCCCAGGAAGTCAAATCTCACATATAGCCACAAATAAGGGTAATATCAAGAGACAATACTTATTACATAATGTATTAGTAAAAGGAATATAACCTCAGAGTATAGACAACGGAAAGTCGACTCCGATCTTTAGGCGAAGACTCTAAATCCACAGGGACAACTGACTGGTTGACCACAAGCCTAACTCCTCCAGACTAGCAATCTGGTACCCATCCGGGATTTTTATCCAAGTATAGAAAAGTAAAGCAAGCGTAAGTACATGTCGTACTTAACAATTATATCATGGGGTTCATGAGGCTCAAAAGGCTGACACTGGTTTAACTACGATTAGCCTTTGTTTAGCACAATTTTAGCAATTGGTTGGCAACAAGTTTATCCATAAGCCCATAAACACATGATCAGGTAAACATGAATAATGTATAGCATAAACCATTAATCATTAGTACCATTATCCATTAGTGATCTTCTCTATTCCATAAGGGTCCAAGGCCGCTTGTGACCATGAGCACGACTGTTATAACAGTTTTACACTCTGCAGAGGTTGTACACTTTCACTGTGAGTCATGATTTACCCTTTTGCTCGAGCGGACGGAAAAGGGGAGAAGAAGGGGGCTCGGCTTGGTGCTTTAAAGGCTGGACGGGCGCTACGTAGAAGGAAGGGGAGCGGGGCGCTGGGGAGGATTGGTCGCCTTCCATGTAGGCACGGTGCCGACGACTTGCCGTAGGTGGTGCGCCATCTGCGGGGGCGATGGAAGGAAAGGAGCGGGGAAGAAGAAAGGAAAGAAGGGGACGGCGGCTAATGGATGGGGACGGCGATGCAGTGAGAGGGAGGAGCGGCTTGTGGTAGGCGCATGTGGGAAAGGCCGAAGCGGAGCGGGCCGCCTAGCTGGGCCGTGCGGGCGTGCGGAGAGGCGGGAAGGAGGAAGGGAGGGCGGCTGGGCCGGCCAGCAGGCCAGGCCGGTTGCCGGGCCAAAGCGCGAAGGAGGCCGGGCTGAATCTAGACTTGGGCTGGAAGAGAAGAAAAGAAGGTTTTATTCAAAATCAGATTCTTTTTTTTTTTCAAATTCTAATTTTCAAAACTAAATTCAAACACAACCCAAATCAAATTCAAATAGAGTTTCAATATACGTTTTCAACTCAAGTAAAAATGAGGAATTTTAGTAGGTCTTCTAAAAATAATTTTTACAACTTTTTAATTTATTTTATTTTTCAAACTTTCTTTTCTTTTTCTTCAAAGCCATTTTCTAAAGCATTTTAAATCCTTTTGAGTTTTAGTCAAAACCACTCATCACCAAGAATCAAATGCAACAGCATGAATGTACAAACATGTCGCTACCTTATGATGAATTTTAAATTAATGAAATTTTTTTATTTTCCTATATTTCATGTGCACAAAATTCATAAATAAATCATTTTAGCTCTATTTCAAAAGAGACAAATTTTAGGGTGTTACAATTCTACCCCCCTTAAGATGAATCTCGTCCTTGAGATTCAGAAGACGTCGACTAAGAGATGGGAATACTCCGTCCTTGGATTCTTCTTTACTTCCTCATGCACTTCCATCGTCTTGATAAAGATCCACTTTACTTTGCATACTTGTTGCCCTTACTCCAAGTAATTTGCCTAACTAATTCCAAAATTTTGATAGGTACCTCGAACAACTCTCAGGTAACCCTAATCACTAGGCCCATAATTCTCTTTCCTCATATGTTCACCTTTCTACAAGGCTTCCTTATCTTCTTGGTCCGAAAGAGAATCTACCACCAATCTTCAAAACATTAATGATCCTAGTTAAGTTGCTCGAACTAGGAATACAACTCTTAATCCTTAGTGTCACCCGAACCTTCTTAGCACAATTCTCCATTGCTAAGGGCATCGGCCATGACTTCGCTTCTCACAGTGATAGCACTTTTCCAAGTCATAATCAATCTCATTCCAACGAGGTTATCACAAGCTCAAGACCAACTTGGTGAAGATGTCCTATATATTCTTGTGATCCTCCTAGATGTCACTTTTACTTTCAAGAAGATGGTACTTCCATGCTTCGCAATGGATAACTCCAGATAACATGTTAGGTAGATCAACTCAAGCTCCCTTAGTTGACTTAATGAACAAGCCACTACTTTTTTTCTCGTATAAGGACACATCCCACACCTTGATAAGGTGCATCATAGTGGATATAAAGCTCTTGTCCTGATCTAACAAAGCTAATACCTAGATTTTACCTCAACCTCTTCTTGGATTCCTTCAAACACTTACCTGAGGTTTCTTGATCCAACCTAATTTAAAAGCTTCTCCGGTAGATTTATCAACATCTTGCTGGTCTTGGATAAACTTCCCCTCTAACCAAACCTCATTATTTAATACTCTAAGTTCTCTCTTACATCCTTGAGTACCACCACGCTTCCGCTGCGCAAACTAGAACGTAGGACACTTCATCTTGCAAATTCCTCAACTTGGCTACCCCCCTTAAGAAAAGATAAACTAGGGGACACCAAAGTATAGCTTGCATCTTCTTTAGATGAGCTTACTAGTATCAAGATGTTCTGTCATCCCAATGATACTCTTGTACATGGGCAAGGACAAGAAATCTGAATTTCCTTGAGACAAAAAAAATAGCAGTGTGGTAAGGCAGCTGTAACTCTTATTCTGTTAATCCAATAAAGTTGTAGCTTATATCATTGGAAAGCTTATAAAATTCTCCACAACCTCCTTATAGAACACTTTTCCGAATTCTGCAGTTCA